AGGAAAAGGCATAGATATTTTTGGATGAACTGGCCAAAGTCATCCTATACTTTGGTATGTACTTTGTACCCACATAGTGTCACATTATCATGATGATGTTTATTTCCAACAGGTGGGTGGCGCACCGTCGGACGTGATCATAAGGTTACAGTCAAAATACGAGTTTGCTCGTAATTGTAGGTAATGGAACAAGTGGGTGATGGGGTGCAGTCAAGAGGAGGAAGGGCCTAGCTGCGGGTGAACCAGCAAACTATATATAAAAGTGCCTTGTCATCAGTGCACTGAAATATTTCGGTTTCTGATCTGCCCCATAACGGACGTCATTTTTGAGGTGATTGGGCTGGGATGGGCAATTCTGTGAAGAGCGGGATATTTTTGGTTGGCCGAGGTAATCCTCAGAGGTAAAACAAAACTTGTATAAGATCGATCCCATTGGAGAGGTAGTTTGGTGCGGCGTTTTATATAGATTCAAAGTTGTACCAGTTTTGATCGTAATGTGATAGATGAAGTCAGTGCACGAAAATGCAATGTTATGGGCGCGTTTGTTAATTCGAAACGCCCATAGCGTCAAGACGGTGTATCCGTGAATATCAAGTAACGTGTGTATCAGGTGTCAGAACGGGCTGTTCTGACGCATGGTTGTGAGACGTCGCCTGTTTGAGGAGCGAAACCAAGGAGTTTTCATGCGTTTGACAACAGCTGCCTCAAAACCATAGCTCGTATGGGTCCGTCCCGGCAAATCCGTAAGGCGCCAGGCTACCAAACATAGGTGAGGCCCAGTAAACAGCGTCGCACATAGACATGGACCCAGCAGTTAAGATAAGTAGGCGGGGCGAGCGACAACGGCTACCGTTATCATGGTGACCTCTTTATGTCGGTCAGCGCCATTATGTTGGTAATTTATCCGCAGATCCTCGTGACGCTGTATTAACTACAGGCTAGTTATGCATATGTGGGAAATAGGACCATCGGCGGAGATGGCCCCAGCATCGCCACTGCACAGTTAATGCTGTTGTCTAGCGGTGTTCTAATTAAGGTAATTTTAGCTCCGTGGAAAATGTGTTGTGACCAGGTTCGCTGAAGCAAATTATCTCATTTTTTGAATCTGAGGAGTGTAAAGCAAACCAACATCAATGGCCGATCTTCCAGGGTGGAATTTGCGTTAGATGTTCTTTAGATGTTTTTATTCTCAATGAACACAGAAAGACACCAAAATGTGCTGACGTGTGAGTTCGTGTTTTATCGCGCGTAAACCGATCACAAAATGAGAATCCGTGATGGTTCGTCACCCTGAAATTTCGCTCCCTTAAGCAAAATACTGTGAGCAGCATGTCAACGAAAGGTGCATATGGATTCGAACAACTTCCCGTTGAATTCGCAAATTCGAAAATCCTATAGTTCTATCGGAAATAGTTTAGGTGTGCTTCTAGTCAGCGGCGGCACCATGCTAAGCCAATGACAGTCAGAGGAACACGAATTCCGCGCCCACAATGTGCCAGGAGTATGTTCAAACAACCTTCAACAAAACTGCTCCCGCGTTCGGAGATTACAATGGTTCGAATGAGTGAGGCGTCATCCTCACTGTGATTGTGGAAGGGCCAAAAGCGATAAAAGCCGGGCTCAGTGAAGGTCTACGACCGGACCACAAAAGCCGTGCGGTTTTTCGCATAAAGGCATTTCAAAAACAGTCAGATGAGGAGTTATTTTCGTGATGTGTGCAAGACATTTGCATTAGCATATCATAAATTATTTTCAAAGTATTTCGTTGTTCCTCCCGACCAGCAACAGCCGTATTGGGTGACATAAGAGCCGTAAAATCTTGCAATTGATAAAGCAGAAAATGCGCGACTATTGATATTGTTCTAGGTGGTTTCTCCCCTGTCTGATGAACCTAATTCAAACTCTTCAAGGGATGATATATATCCTGTGGATACTTGTAATCTGTCCGGCTACAAAAATTAATCCCTAAAAAGCATAGAGCATATTAATTTCTTTCAGTGGATATGGGAACGATAATTTCCCACGTTCTGTTTTACAATTGAATGCTACAAGTTTGGGCAAGAATGTCGCACAACGACCTTTGTGTTCATCCATGGCAACTTTATCGCTTTCAGGTTGGAAAAGGTGGAATCACGCACAACCTGGAACCATCTTGCCTATTAAGGGTGACATACGTGAAGTTACGTTCAGGTAGATTGATGCCCATTGATGTGCGCCCAAGAAGGAGGTTTGAGCTTTATGGCTCACGTCACAGATCTGTAGCGGACAAGGACCTATGTATGCGTGTTCGATAGGATATACAACCAAAATACCAGCTTAGAAATAACAAATGGCAATAAGGAATGGACAAGTGAACGTAATAGACTCACTAAATTGGAGGTCCAATAATTCCACTACACGAAATGTTGTGCAGTAATTGTATTCGGCGGCGGAGAATATATCCAGAGTAAGAAGGATACTCTCCACTGTTAGTTCGAGTTTTAGAAATAAATTCCACGGTGGACAGTTATCACAGCTGAAAATTGTCACAAGGAGTTATTGTGACGTTTAACAGTTCACACAAACACAATAACCCAATCTCACGACTTCAGCAAACAGCAATCAGCTCAATCGGATGCAATTTCACTGACTCAGCGAAAAGCAGGGAAGTCGCGCCAAGAAATTGTATTCGTAACATTAAAACAAACG